GGCTTTGAAGCTCTCTGGTGCAAAGAGTTACGTTTCTTTTTTGTGACCTGCAGAAGGCTGGCTTTCCTCCTGAAAAATCTTACTGCGAAGCCTGGCCTTCATGGGCTTGTGATGCTCAGAAAGACAGACTGAGCTCTTCTGATTTATCAGCACAGTTTGGTGTTTCCATTAGTGAAAAAAGCCCGTCTTTATGCACAGGAAGTAGTATTTCAAATAAATCTTTAAAAATCAGATCACAGTAATGAACACTAAATGTTGCTCTTGTAAAGAAAAAAAAAGTAGATTTTTCTTGAAATATTCATTTTTCTGTAAAGATTCTTCCCATGATTAAGCCAATATGAGACTGTTTTGATTCTGTATGTGATGAGAGAGATTACAAACTATTTGCAGTTTTTTCCATTTATTGCTACATGACATTTACATGTTGAAAAACTTCATTAATGGCCTGATCCTGCATTCCTTTCTTAGGCATAACTTTCATAGACTGTAAGTGAGTTAGAACTGCAGGATCTGTCCTTCACTATGTCTGTACTGTATATGGAGTAATGTCTTTCTGAAATTAAACTGACAATACAATAAATATCAGCTAAGCCATAACTTTTCGCTGACCATCTGCAGACTGCTACATTCATGTACTTGAAATACACCGTACTGTCATCACCATTTAATCAGTTAGGGCATATGTCACATATTTCAAGATAAATTACAGCACAATGCTATTACTGTAATTTCCAGTTTAAAGGACAAATTCCTCACAACATGCAGATGTTAAGTACACATCAGCTCTAGTACTCACAGTCAGTTCACCTAATAGGAGGCTGCATTTGAAACGTGTACGGTGATGCGTTGCTCAGAACCTAATGGAACCCTGATGGAAATTTCCAGGAATTTGATACTGATGTTTATTGATAATAAGAGTTCACTGTATCATAGCAGGTAATTGTACAGTTTGTCTGTTAACTCTCTGCAAGCTCATTGAAATTCATGGAATCACACAGGTTGCCCATCAGTAGTGGACTTGGCCCTCCATACCCTGTGTTCCAAACCATGAATATTTACAGGTTTTACTCTCTTAGCGTTCTTCTCAAGTAGCATTGGCAAAGACAGCTCATCTTTCTCCTTCTTCCCCTGTTAAAGGTCTATGGGCTGGATCATCTTCTCTGCCTCCACAGGTCGGGTGGTTCTAATTGAGGGGTATATAGGAAGAGCTAGGTCTGGGGGACTGTTGAACTCTTCCTAAAGTGCACTGCTGAGACTGAGCTCTCCCTAAGGTGCATTGGTGAGAAGGTGCAGAGAAGACAAGCAGGAGGTAGGAGAGCAGAGAGTACAGTTGATATCTGTGGCATTGTATTTCATGGGGATTCATTGAGATGAGAACAGCAGAAGAAATTATCACCCCATTCCTGGAAGGTAAGAATGGCCGTACTGGGTAGGACCAATGGTCCATCTAGCCCAGTATCCTCTCTTCCAACAGTGGCCAATGCCAGATGCTTCAAAGAGAATGAACAGAACTTGGCCATTATCAAGTGATCCACTCCTGTTGTCCAGTCCCAGCATCTGGCAGTTAGAGGTTTACGGACACCCAGAGCATGGGGTTACATTCCTGACCGTCTTGGCTAATAGCCACTAATGGACCTATCCTCCA